TTCTATTTTTGAATACATATATGTATAAATATTCATATTAAAATATAGTTGTATTGTATTGAATCACATTGTTGTATATTCTTATTCCAACGAGAAATAAATCTTCTCTGGTCAAGACTAGAATATACATTGGACATTTTTGTCTCCATCAAATGGAACATGTAGGCAATTGTTCCTTTAATATTATTTAATATTATAGGATGTGTTTTTGAAAATTTGTTATGTCAAAGCAAAAATATAGAAGTCTCTATTATTTTGGGGGTTATTTTAGCTGAAGTTTAAATTAGGTTGAGTTTAATGTAAACATTTTTCTATTATTTTCACTATTCTCATTCTTACTTTGGGGGTTACAGACGGTCAGGTCATAAATCCTTGATAGTGTGTCTATTACACCTCTTTTTAATATTCAGATACTTTGTTCAATGAAAAGTAAGAGTGATCATATCTGTCAGAGAAGAAGGCTAATTTTGCAGGAACGTAGGTGTTATTTAAGGTCCTTTGAAACAGCTCTCCATGAAGAGACCCCCATGAGATACATAAACAGGGAACACTTCTGACTCATCATTAATAACAACATCCCACTTGGAACCTGAGATGATATGGACCTTATTCTAACTCTCTCTGGTGACTCCAGTGCTCACCAGTTCACCAGCATTTCCAAGGTGGCATGAGCAAGGAGAAGTTTGCTAATGGTGGCCAGTGTCCAGACCCCCTGATCTGTGTGCCCACCAAGAACAGGAATCTGAACACCCCTCAGGGCTTGGGTCATGCTGTTCACATTAGAGAAAATACTCACACTTGGCTTCAAAAACATTATTAGGTCCTTTTGTGGTGACCACTGAGAACTTTTGACACTCTCCGTTGGACCTTAAACACAAACCAAGAGAAGGTCTTTTTTTTTCTCATCTATTCTTCCAAAAATCTTTGTATTGGGCTTGAAGAAGACCCAATACGGATATCCCAAACTTCAACTCAACTTGAACTTCATCAATAATTATGTTAAAAGGAGGTATTTGGGTGCCATATTGTCATTTCCAATTTTGGGGGGGTGGGGGTGGGGATCAGCATGGAAAGAGATGCATGTTTGAACACTTCAACGACCAATTTGTGCTGAAACTCATTGTCTGAATCGTAACAGACTCTGCTTCCTATGAACTAGATCTCACTTTTGTTTTCTCCTGGGCCCTCGTTGAAAAATATTTAAGTCTTTCATGATGTAATTGTCATATTTGTGTTTTGATTTCAAGAACCATCATAGTTGTTTATTCATACACACTTTGTCATCGGATTAACCATTGAGTCACTCTTATGGGCAATGATTTCAAGTGGAACTATGAAGATGACACATTCTATATACACGAACATATGTTACATCTATATTATATAGAGAATTTAAATTTTTGCTCCACTATCCCAATAACCACAGAATCCTGATCATTGTACAAATATTAATTTCCAAGTCAAATATATATCTATTGAATCAATTTTGTCATAGAAAAAAACATCAGCTGGAGAATCATGATTGACATAGATTAATGTGTAGATCCTGCTCTTTTGAATTCATCAATAAAGCTAATGGATGCAATCTATTGGCAATAGACAGAGAATGGAAAGAGTCCAGCACTCCCATACTGGGGTCTGATGGACCTTTGCAGTCAGCTCAGGATTCCAAGGAAGAGACTTTGCGCACTGTCTCATGGTCTCTATGTTAAGGGATGTGGTTGAACAGGATCTCAAAACCACAATCTGCTTCAAGAAAACATCAATAGTGGTGAGTCTCTAGGGTGATCCTGTGGATGTCCAACTTCCTCACAGCCAAGAGCACACCTCCATGAAGAGGACCTGTGAGCATCCTCAAGATGTCTCACCATGGATTGGAGCCCAGCCCATGTGTCAGAAGTGAACCGTTTAGTTTCTTAACATGGGGACAATTTTTTTACTTACTTGACATAGAAGGTGATGGTTAACTTCTCACATGGATCAATACATTCAAGGCGACGGAGATAGACTCTGAGATCTCCTTCTTCACTAATCTTCTCTATGTTATCAGCTGCCAAGAGAATGCTTTGCCAGTTCCCAGTTATCTGCAAAGGAAAGGTCCCTGGGAATGGCTACTGGCTCCTCCTCCTCATCTCTCATCCACACCTATTAGAACCATGGCAGGTGGTTTAGCTCAGAAGGAAACAACAAACCCCATCCGGAGGTAGGCATTCAAGCTCTGCTGTCCACAGGTAGAATCCCATCCGATAAGGTCAGATTCCCAAAGAGAGCATGGAATTGAGAGGCTCTGAAACAGCTAAACAGAATCACCAAATACATAAGAACTAGTAGGTGACACTGTGTCACCTTATGGTACCTTAACTTTTATTAACTTCCTTACTTCAGGAGAAATGGGATAGTCACAGAAAGAGTTGGAATACAGAAGTAGACAAGGATCATCTCATGATTGTAGAAGTATGTGGACTGACATGCTCATAAGATCCCATGTCACTTAAAATTGAGAAATGTGGGAAGAGAGAAAAAAGGAGAGAGAGAGGGAGAGAGAGAGAGAGAGAGAGAGAGAGAGAGAGAGAGAGAGAGAGAGAGAGAGAGAGATTACCTCCAAGATCAGCCCATCCAGGTACCCGTGCCTCTTCAAACTGGGATGAAGCACAGATCAGAGAAAATCCAAGAATGAGCAGAAAGGTCCTCATCTTGATGAGATATGTCTTCCTGTCCTTCAGGGGCTCAGGGAACTTGAGTGAGTGGAGAGAACGAGTTTGATGCCTCTTTAAATAGTATTAGTGACGTGGCATGAGCAGCAATGGATCCATTGTTTATCATCCTGAAACTTCTGTTTGCCCAATGCTTCCTGTTTGGCTTCGATGGACCGTCCAGGACCTTCTATTTAACTAATATGACTTTGTCTCAGTGTCCTCTATTCTATTTCTTAGGTCTTCATCCAGGCTCTTTTTACTACACTGCTGTATAGTATATTTTCATACCAGGTATTTCTTGGCCTCCTGCTTTGACAATCTTGCTTATTATTTCATTTCTTAGCTGGGTCTCTTATCCTTCCAAATGCATTTAAAACATTTTATTTCTAATTCTGTGATAAATGTCTTTTTTTATTTTCATGAAGACTTCTCTGAATCTGTAAATTGCTTTTAGTAGTATGGACATTTTTACGATATTAATACTGCCTATTCA